TATTATTATGATTATTATTATTATTATTGTTATTATTGTTATTATTATTGTTATTATTATTGTTATTATTATTATTATTAATTAATAATGGAATTAATTATTACTACTACTACTACTACTACTACTACTACTACTACTACTACTACTACTACTACTACTACTACTACTACTACTACTACTACTACTACTACTACTAAAACTACTAAAACTACTAAAACTACTACTACTACTACTACCACTACTACTACTACTATTACTATTATTACTACTATTACTACTATTACTACTATTACTACTATTACTATTACTATTACTATTACTATTACTACTACTACTACTACTACTACTACTACTACTACTACTACTACTACTACTACTACTACTACTACTACTACTACTACTACTACTACTGTTACTATTACTATTACTACTACTATTACTACTACTACTACTACTATTATCATTGTTATTATTATTAAGTATCATCAACAACAATAATGATAATAACATCATATTTTCATGGCAATTATAATGTTACATAACAGCAGCAATAGTTATCTTTACTGATAACATACTTTTTACCTATTAACTCAGATATATCCAGACATGATTCAGATAAGGCATTTTTCTGTAATTGTTTGCCCGTTTTTCTTCTTTCTTTCATGAACTACTACATGCTGTAGCACCCCATTGTACCTTGCTTCTCTTTGCACCTTTATCCACTTACCAATTATATATCCTCTTTCTCTGCATTGATATTTCCCCTTAGTATTCCTATGCCACGTGCAATAGATATGGCTTTTCTGGTAGTAATTTCTACCTAGTGTATAAATCTTCAGTGTCTGATACAAACCTGTGACAAGCAAACCTTTTTTTCTGTCTCTGGGGTTACTGGCATATTTGTCTTCTTCCATAAACTCTTCAAGTTATCTGATTGTTTTTGTAGCCTAAGATGCAAGAACTAACCTATAAAACTCAATTTACTTGAAACATTCTTGTGCTTTGGCCCAGGTAGTGTCTTCATTAACTGTGCTTGTATGTCTCATGGAAATGGGTCAAAGCATCATTTGTGCCCATTTCATTAATATGATTGCTTATTTTATCATTCCTCACCTAGAATATGAGTTTTATGTGACTATGTCAGTATTCTACATCTAAGAGAGCCCCTGTACTTTGAGCAAAGCCAAATACTTGGCTTTACTATTAGAAATGATCTTAAAAGCACATTATATTGTTAACTTTAGCATCCATCAAACATGCAAGCCTCATATTCCATATCATACTTCTGATCCCCTTATATATGAAAAGCATACATACTGGTAGACCATTAATGAGCTTTCTTTAGAATTTGAAATTCCTTAGTATTTAACTTACTGACACTGGGTATATGCACCTCCCACAGTATTTTGCCTTATGAATTTTGTCACATGTAGATGGCCCCACAAGTGCTTAGTTACCAGGGAGGTAATTAGTACCCTTGTTTGACCTCAGTGTCAAACCTCATTCCATGAAGTTTGGGGGGAAATATTTTTTGTTTCATTTTTTAAATTTATAATAATAATAATAATAATAATAATAATAATAATAATAATAATAATAATAATAATAATAATAATAATAATAATAATAATAATAATAATAATATTATTATTATTATTATTATTATTATTGTCATTCTTGTTATTGTTATCATTATTATTACTATTATTATCATTGTTATTGTTATTATTATGATTATAATTATCATTGTTATTATTTTTGTTGATGTTATCATTATTTTTGAATTATAATTTTTCTTTTACTGAATTATGATTTTAATGGTAGTTAATATTAACAGTATTTTTTTGAAAATTGAAATATCAGGGAAAACACTAAACAAGTGAGATCAGGTAAGCCTATTAACGGACTTTTAGATCAATCTCTGTGTTTGATAAATTTAGGAAACAAAAATTAGGCGTATTTGCAGATACCTTCCCAGTGATAGCATGTTGATTATACCTTCCCAGTACTAAGTTTAAGTGTCTTAATTGGCCAGTTTTTCTACTCGATCGGCGCATTTGTTTTCTAAGTTTCTGGTTTTACTGAGCTGATTTTTGTTTTAAAAGTATCTTTCATCATAACTCTTACAAGCAAGCTATAATTTGAAAATAATAGGGAATATATTAAGGTAAAGATTTATGCTACACGTGTATATATTAATGGATATTGCACACATTCGGTGATTTGTTTGTGCTAGTATACTGTATATATTCATTTTATGCCCCCCCCCCACACACACACTGTCTGAGGCCAGACAGGAAGCACGCAGACGAGGTTTTTCTCTTACTCCTTACCTAAGTACTGCCCTTTGCTCCTCCCCCCCTACTTCCTCCCAAGATGTCTCTATATCTGCTCCAGTATGATACTGAGTATCTCTTCCTCATCCCACTTCTACCTCCTCCCTCTCCCAGTGAAATTCTTTCGCCATTCTAAATCCAGACACCTCAATCTTCACCACTAT